CTTAGGAAGGTCAGCTTTTTTTTTCTTAATATCTGCTTTCCACTGATCCACCCTCCTGCCACTTCTTTGAGCGTTGTTTGTCTTCTAGTGCCCCTCTCTGAAAACTTTAAGCCTCCCTCAGTGCCTGTCATAACCCAGATGCGTTTCTTCTCACAGTTCCTTTCTTTCTCAGAACCCCCTTGGCTTGCACTTTCTTCAGTGACCCTTCCAGCCTCAGTTTCCAGCTTCTTTCAACCAGTTTCCATGGTCTTGGATAAAATAAGGGAAATCTATTGACTGCACTGGACCTCTTGGCACCGCAGTGAAGTTCCAGCTTTACGTATGATGAGATTTCCAAATGTAAACGAGATAACCACAAAGCTTTCTCTTTGGGTTTCTTATCTGGGCTGATCTGAGCAATGTAGTTTGCTGCTTGGACTGATGGCCTGAGCTTTATTGACGTGAGGTAGAAAAAAAAAACATCTTGTTGGGGGCAGCAGTACATTTTTCCTCTGAACTTATTAAAAGGCTGGAGAGGAAGGTTTCCCACTGAGCTGCTCTGGGTACATCTGTCTTTTGAATAAGAAACAAAACCCCTTTAGTTTTGATCCAGGAACTGTTTGCTTTTGCTCCCTCTTGCTGTTAGTTCGTTTGAGGGCTGGAGGAGCAAGCAGTACAAGAGATTGTCTTGGACCCCAAAAGTGGGGAAATGGTTATCTTTTCCCACTCCCTTAGCACTGTGACGATCTTGGTGACCTGACTCATGCCCTATTGATGTGCTCAGCACTGCACTGACTCTGAAAACATTGTTCCTTCTAGCATGTTGATTTTAATTCCCTTCCATAGATGTTAGACAGAAATGAGAACAGTCTGCTGGGGGGGGCGGTCACAGAGATGGTGCTGTCAGCATTTGTCAATTTGTCATATACCAGGGAACAGCTACAAATGAGACAGGTGAAACCAGGACTCTGCCAACATGAATCAGCAGCTTGGCTTTGTATCTAGCCCCTCAAAGGGTCCCCAGGTTATGATAATCCTTCTCTGGTGTTGTGTGCCATGAGTCGATTGCAACTCATAGCAGACCCTATAGGATAGAGTTGAACAGCCCCACAGGGTTTCCCAGGCTGTGATCTTTCTGGAAACAGATTGCTCGAGAGTAATAGAAATTGGTGTTAAAGCTTCATGAAGTGTGACAGTTTTGTCAGGGGGAGAGAGAGAGAGATTTCCAGCAGGCCACCCAGCTTTGTCCTTAACATCTCACACGCAGCAAGTTTCAGGGCACCTGACTAACGTAAAGGAAGTCTTTACTTGAGATACATCTGGAGTGCCTTTAAGTTTGGGTCAGTGCTGTCCCTTACGCTTTTGCAGATCTCTCTTATCCATGCTGAGGATCTCTGGGCTTACATCCCCATTGAAATCTGGGGGGAAATTCACAGATGCCCTAGTCTCTGGGTTGAAAGAAACTGTTGGCCAAAACCATGTATGGGTTGGGAGTAGGCAAAACTACCAAATCATCTCTTAGTACGAGAAAACTTGTTACCCAGCTTTTCTCTCATCTCTAGGGTTGGACTAACTGTGAGGAGCATCTCCCCTCAGTGAGGTGCACTGACAGGTGGTAAACTCCAGCCAGGGAAGGGAGTGGCCCAAAATGGGCCAGATTTTTCATTCCTGTAGAGTCTTTCAGGAGCTCTGGTGGTTCAGTGGTTGGAGCATTTGACTGCTAACCAAAAGGTCAGTGGTTCGAGAATCCCCCAGCCACTCCACGGAAGAAAGATGTGACAGTATGCTACCCTAAAGATTTACAGCCTTGGTCACTGTGTGTCAAAATTGACTCAATGGCAATAAGTTCAGTTTTGGAGCGTTCCTCATTTATGAACATGTGTGAGATAAAGGAGCCTGTACTAGCTGACCTCTTAAAACCCTAGGAGCCAATCATGGCTTCCTATCCCACACCCTCTGTGCTCTCATCCCCTCTGTGCGTCTTGTCCTCATCTCCCTCCTTCCTACCCCCACATTACTGTGATAAGCAAGCAAGTGCTTATCAGGGATCCTGGAGGCTGCTGATCTTCATGTGGCATTGTCTGGATTCCTGCCACAAAACAGGATTTAACCTAATACCCAACATTGGAGGAGATGGGCATTTGGGAGCTGCCCTTTCAGCACTGTTTAAGCACTTGGGGGAGGAGGGCATAGCCAGAGGACGGATCAATGCCCCCATGACTCTGCAGCCATGGGGGTGTGAAGTGTAGGGGCAGCAGTATCTTGAGGGGTTAATTGCTTCTTTCCAATCCCTCTGTGACCTTGTCCCACCTGAACTGGGTTCATTTTATCACATTCACCTCTTGAGGGTTTTGTCCATAAAGCAAGTTTCCGTACTTAGAAGCAACTGATAGTATTTGTTTGTTAATCCCTTTGCAGTGACAGACTATAAAAGGTAAATTGGTGACATTTGAGAGGCTTGTTTGCTTCTTTCCTGGTCTGGAACATTTCTAGAAAAGAGTTCCTTTCTATTCGTTTCTTCAAGACCTCCCTCGGAAATTCAGGACCGTCTTCAGCATCTCGTTTACTAACCTTATTATCCCTCTTCTTGAAAGACCACTTTCTTACCCTTCTACACCGTTCCCTGGAGTTTTGAATTACTGATTTTAGGGAGACTCTCTGAAGCCCATGTAGAGCTGCCAGAGACCTAAAACAAAGGCTCCCCTTTTCCAGTGCACTGAAATGAACACTCCTCCATCCCTAACCCAGGATGCGCCCCGTTCACACCATCTGAAGAAGAGAGACTGAGTGAATGACGCAGCCACAGTTGTCTGGGTGTATGCCAAGTGCTGGTTAGTCATATTAGCCTATGGGTTGCTTATCTTCTGGGAAGGAGAAACCTCTGTGAAAGGGGATGAAACCATCACATCCCATCCCCTGATTTGAGGGGGAAAGATTGATTAGGCACAAAGGGAAAAGTGATATTGTTGTTGCCATGGGTGGTCGACCAGCGAGGCCAAGTGGAAGGCAGGAGCCATGAATTTGTTCTGAGCTCCTGCCAAGCAAGAGATTGTCCAAAGGTCAGGCAACCACGTTCCAGATGACTAGGTTAGAAATTCATAAACTCCACTGGGCTCTTTTTTAATAGTCTCCCCAGTTAAACCAGAGATTTAAAGAGCCCTGGCTGATTCTTCCATCTAGAGTTGAGTGGTACAGTGAAGGCAGGGGCGATTCTTCATGCAGCAGGCACAGAGCAGGTCAGTCTTATGCCTCAAACCAGAGTCAGCCTCAGGACTGTAGCAGGGCCATCCTGGCAGTGTGACGTTAGGTGCCTAGGTACCGAATGTCTCAGCACCACAAAGCCTGGTGCTTGTCTTCTTTACTCTAGACAGAGACTATCCTGGGAAGGGCCTTTCAGATAGATCCTCAGGGCTCACGAACCCCAGTGCATTGGATCCAGAGTTCCTTATCACTTGGTGTAATTCAGGTGCTATAAACTCGGTTTATTTTAAGATGGGGGGAATCTCTCATCAGGAAAACGAGAAGTTAATTGTCCCGCCCTAAAGCCCTCCATGGACAACTTTGTAAATCACAGTTTCATTCCCTAAGTTGTTTTCCTTCCATCAACCCTTGGGCTCAGATAACGGCAGATAATGTTCATTCTTATTTTATAGATTGAAAGCTGGTAAGACTAGAATGAAAAACAACACAGTGACAAACTCTGGTTTATAGATTCTCGGCTTTGTGTCCCTTTCATAAGGTCCCAGTGACCTTTTGTGAAGCCCTTGGTGTAGGTTCCTGATAATAAAAATGCACGTATACCGCTGTTGAGTCAGATCCAACTCATAGCGACCCCTCCTTGGGTTTCCGAGGTGGTATCTCTACGGAAGTAGATTGCCCAGTCTTCCTTCCTAGGAGTGGCTGGTGGCTTTGAACCGCCAGCCTTCTGGTTAGCAGCCAAATGCCTTAGGCACTACACCACCAGAGCAGCTCCTGATAATAATAATAGTGTTGCGTTTATGAGATTGCGCCGAGCGTGTGTTTTTTGTCCCGCGTCTCTTTTCATTTTCCTGATGGTATGAGTGTCTCTTTTTAAGTTCTGAGGTCTAGAGAAGTTGTTATAAGATGGTGGTGGCTAGGACTCAAACGCAGGTCTTCTTAACTCTTGACCCATGCCCTTTATTCTTGTACTGTCTTGCCTCCATCTCTGACTGATGTTGCTTCTGGAAATCCTGGGAGTCACTGGCCAAAGAGACTGATGAGGCAGTTTTTCCAAACCCCTGGCCGGAGCTCAACTACACCCTGAGAAAATAATAGCTTTGGGAAGATGTGGAATGGTGAAAGAAGCAGCTCCTCCTTTGAGAAATAGAAATGATCCACTTAAGGGTGATTTATATAAGCGAGAAAGGAATCGTGTTCTCCTGTGTTCAAGATTCCCCTCTGCCCTGCTCCTTATATTTTACTGCACCTTTTAGATTTCCTTAACAATAGCAGTTTTAACTTTGCTTTTAATTAGATGAATTAAAAATGTTCTCTGATGTTATCACCCCCTTCCGCCCCCCTATCACCTCCAATTCCCCATTGCTGTGAAGCGCTTTAATTTCCATGGTAACAGGACTCCCAGCCTAGGTTGGCTTTCACTGGTTGGTCTGGTCAGAGAGAAGTTAGGGGCAGTCCTTCCTGGAGTGCTGGACTCTGGATGGGCTTTCCAGGGGATTACCTTAAAAGCAATGAAATTAGAAGTGCTGAGAGACTGTAAGGCGAGTACAGCTAACGCTTTGTGTAAAAGTCCATGCCTGCCCCTAGTATTTCTTGAAAGAGTCCTACCTCTAATCCAAAAACAAGGGGGTCCCACCTCTCCTCTGTTACCCCAAGTTCCCAAACATTTGCCAAGAGTCATCCCATTCCCAGCCCTCCTGTGGTTAACCTACTTCAGGCAGTAGAAGGGGCTTTGTTTCTCCTGAATGATTTTGTTCTTGGTAACAGATTGTTCCCCTCTCCGTTCTCGTTCTCTTTTCTTCCCTCTTTCTCCCCCATCCCAGAGAGTTTTCAACGTCCTTTACCCCATGCCTGCCGACCAGCGGAGACATGTCAGCATCAACTCTGCCCGTTGGCTCCCAGAGCCAGGGCTCGGCCTGGCCTATGGCACCAACAAAGGAGATCTGGTGATCTGCAGACCAGAGTGAGTGGCTCAAGGTGTCGAGGGTGGAGGGTGGGGTGGGGGTAGGGGTGTCATCAGCATTCCTGGGCCTGACCAGTGAGTTGGGGTCTCTCAGATGTAAGATCGAAACCCTGATAGAGGGTACCTTGTTCTCAGCACTGCTTCTTACAGGGTCCTTTTCCGGTCACTCAAGGTTGGTGAGGTTAGCTCTCTGTTCTAGGTATCTTCAAAGGGCTGGTTTGGTTATTATGTCTTCTTGAATCTAAAACAGTTTTTTTTCTTTTTCTTTTTTTCTTCTCTGGTTTCCTAGTGATAATAAAGTTTCCCTGCAGGCAAAAGCATAGATATCAAAGATTCTTTTTAAAATTCTTTTTAAAACTTCAACAGGTGTTCTTAGGTTTCTGTAAATTCCACAGACATTAACTTAAGAAGTAAAATTGGAAGAAGAATATTGTTCAAACCCTAATTTGTCAAGCCACTGATCTCTGACAGCCTGGCTCTGTGTCCTGCCTGTTTTCCTTTCTGCTTGAGGCTCTAGCTCATCATTGTGAAGGCAGAAGGAAAAGCATAATTTAAAATCAAAGTGATCATTATCTAGTCCTGATGTGAGGGGTAGAAGGAGACAAAGAACCAAAGCTTTTATTTCTTAAGTCCTGATGGTACCCCTTCCCATTCCTGTAGCTTTTTGGAGGATAGAGGTCTGTCCAGGCACCTGTTTATTCAAGACCCTGGGAGCCAGCCAGGTTTGTCATCAGTTTGCAGACCCAGCCATGTAGGGAGTGTGGGGCTCTGTGCTTCAGTGCAGATTGGGCTGATTGCTGCGTAGGACGCACGCAGGGCTCCAGCAGACTAAATGCCACTTCTGCTTTCAGGCCATCTTAATGCTTTCACTTGCTGCACAGTCTTCTCCTGGGGTGTTCTGCAGATCACAGAGCACAGTGTGCTATTGGGAGTCTCCTTGATACCTTTTCATAGGGACCTTCGCTGTCTTTCCTAGACTATAAATTTGGTTAGTTTTTGTGGCCTTGTAGGTGTCTGGTGATTGCATCCTTGTCTTACTGTGTTAGGACAGTGGCCTAGGAGAAACACTGCATGGTTCTAAAGGCAGCCTGGAAGAGGCCACCACGCTTGGTAAAGTAAAGAGTCAAGGAAAAGGAGGAAGACCCTCAATGAGATGGATTGACACAGTGGCTGCAAAAATGGGCTCAAATGTAGCAACGATTGTGTGAATGGTACAGGACCAAGGAGTGCTTCGTTCTGTTGTACATAGGGTTGCTGTGTGTTAGAACCAACCCGACAGCACCTAACAACAACAAAGGCAGCTCTTTTATTCCATCTTGAATTTTATGGGTTCCGCCTTAACAGAGGCTACTGTCTAACCCTAACCTAGGCAGGCTGTTCTGGGAGCTAGGAGATTGCTGTGTGTTGCCAGCCACTCTGTGTCCAAGGACCATCCTTCACTTCTACTTGTGCCTTTACAGAACACAGCGTGTCTCCTCCACAGCCAGGGCACCATTAGCCCAGTGCTGGGTCTGTCATACTCTGCCCCTCCCCCAGTACATCCATATTCTGAAGATTATAGTCTCCTCAGAAATACTTCTCCCAAAGTCCACCAGGCTGGACTTTTCCTCTTTTCTTGGAAATTCATAAGAGAACTCTAATAGGCATCTTTCCCAAAAGTGACAGAATTCTGGACCATAATTTTACTCTTACCAACACTGTCATTACAAGCTTTTCTTTCCCTGTTTTGCTGAGACATTCTTCCTCAGCAGTGTTGTTTTGTTTACAGCTACAACCAGTAATCTTTGTCCCAACCTAACTCACAGCCCCCTCCCTTCCAAAAGAGATCTGCTCTTACAGAGGCAGACTCTCTAAACCCAGTTTATTGTGGCCACACAGCAAGCCCCAACCTACATACTTGCTGTGAGTCACAGACACTTCAGCCAAACATGAAGCTGGCTCTGGCCTCCATTTTCTCTTTTCTCCCCATATGTCATCTTTGGCATCACAGAGTCTCAGCAGCCTTAAGTCATGTTGGGCTCCTGGGGACTCTTACCCACCAAGAACTGGAGCCTCTTCCATGAGCAAGCTGGTACATGCATTTGACACGTCAGACAGTGTCCCATCACAGACCAAGTGTTGTGGGTCTGAGAGAACAAGTTCAGCCTGTCTCTTTACTCCTGGTTTCTTGGCTTTGGTTATTATCAAGGGTCCCAAGCCTTAAACTAGAGTTTTCCAGGTGCCATGTAAATTAAGGTGAATGTGACTTTGTCCCAAGTTGCTTAAAGCTTCCCCAATTCTCAGTCATCTTCACATCTATGCAGTTTTTTGCTGTAGGCCGGGATACTGTGAATGATGTGCAAGTAAGGAAGCTTAGATGCCCAAGACCTCCCGGCACATCAGAGACAGAGCTCTTACCTGAGACTGGGTCATTACTTTCTTTGGATTAAAAAACCCTTTAAAATTCTTAAAGAAAGCAGTGGACTCACTCCACAGAAAAATAGAGCATATACATAGAATTTTGTAACTACTTAGGTACAGCCCCTCAGGTTGAGGACCTCTGCTCTAGATCATGTTTATGCATTTGACTGGGTCAGGTGAGTGATGCAGTGGAAAATAAGAGTGGACCTGTGAGAACGTCCATCTTTTGAACAATCTATGATTGGGCTCTGGCTTCAAATGGGAGAACAAATAGGGACGTAGGAACACAGAGTTTGTTGTCTCTTTAGTAGGCAGCTGCCTATCCCTGTGTGACACAGCTCCCTGGCACACCCATTCCCAAGGGCACAGGATGCAGCCAGCCAGCTGGGCCAAGATTACAGCCCTCCCTCTAAAGCAGGTGTTTGTCTGCCTTTGTCCTAGGCGTAAGCAACTGCACCTCATTTTGTACTCTTTATCCTGCTCTTGATTTCTTCCCCGTTGTCTTAGACTTAGCACTCTCTCTAAGCATAAAGACTGAAGGAACAAGCCTCTTGGGACAAAAGTGCATCTGTTGCTTACACACACACACACACACACACACACACACCAGTTCACCACCACAGTACAAAAAGGCCTACGAAAATACTTCCTCTCTCCAGGGGAAGGAATTCTTAGGCAAGGTCAGAAGATCACAACTGGCCCTTCAGCTTCTGTGTATACAAAGCTACTATAGAGGCTGATAGCCTGGTCACCCCACCCTTCCTAGTAAGTGAGGTCTCTTTCTCCTTTGCTTTGCTCTCCCCACCCGCCACTCCTCACAAACTGCTGCCGTGCCTCTGGCTGACCGCCAGCCAGCCAACACCCCCACTGATATCCATATTGCGTGTGAAGTATCAGATTGGTATGAGGGGATGCTTGCTCACTTCCGGCTACATAGATCAGCCCTACAATGGCAGGGGGCAGAGGGTGATAGAATCAAGAAACTCATATCAGAAGAGAAGCAGGCTGGGATTGTGGGACATCTGGTCCTTTGGCCAAGTGTGGGACTCTCGACGAGGCCCCAGCTCTATCCCTTGGGCGGGAGCTACCATAGCTACCACTATAAACAGTGATTATAATCAAACATCATTGACCAAAGAGGGTAGCAACATACCTATGAATCAAAAAGGGAGCCAGAATTGCCACAGAGATGACATCTTTCAGGCTAACCCATAGTGCCAAGTGCCAGCTCTTTCCCACATCTGCAGAGACGATAAAGGTCAACACCAGTCTTTTTGGAAACAGTCCTTCTTTGCAAGGAGATGGCTTTGTGGTCCAAGCTTGTGCACCTATGTAACTGATGGAGTGTTTTCACAGGGAATATTCCCCAGAAGCTGAGAAGTTCAGAGCCAGAAGCTCTATGGTAAGAGCATTGTGACTACTGAGGAGGTCAGGTGGCTCTTAGGTATGGTCAGGGAGCCCAGGCAGGTCCCAGCAGTGAAGAAAATCAGTGAGCCAATCCCAGAAGCACAGCCAGTACACAGATGCTACTGAAGTTGAGTGGAAGCCCATTTGAAAAGTCTGGCCCTAATGGCCTTTTCCCTCTTCTTCTTCCCTCTATATGTTTACCTAGCTTCCAGGAAGAACCCTGAGCAGACAGTGATTCATTCATCCTAGACCCAAGAAGGAAGAAGATGGTTGGGGCCAGTCTTTAGCTCACAGACAGAAATCAGAGCTACTGGGTATTGAAAGCTAAGAGTTTCAATAGCCAGCACAGGTGTCTTCAACTCTGTTCTTGCTACAGTGCCTGGAATTTAAACCAAACCCATGTGCTTGTTAGAGTCAAGCTGCTCTGACCACAGTAGAGCAAATTAGGACTTAGAATTAGGCCTGCTAGTGGGGAGCAGAAAGGATGGTGTGATGGGGGAGAGTGGAGCAGTGTATCTGATAAAGTAACCAGAGCCCCCATTCTGCTTGACAGTTGACCTCTTCACTAAGCAGCTTAACTAAGTAGCTGGGCATGCTGCCCAAATGGACAGTGTTTGAGGGGCCCAGCATTATGTTGACAGTCCCAGCACAGATAGTGGGCCTTTTGGTGGTAGCTTTGCTGATATAAGAAGAAAGGTTCCTGGGCATGCAGTGTGTGGTTTGTTACAGGTTTGCTGCCACTAACCAGCCCTGGCTAATCAGAATTACTAGAGGTGGGATTTGGTAGCTGTTTCCATCTGTCAATAAGTTATAAATCAGAGACTCCCTGGCAGCTAGCTTCATAAGGTACCTAACACACCTGGTGTGCTCATCAAAAACTGCAGTGATGACCGTGTTTTTGGATGCATCTGCCATTGCAGGCCAGTTGACTTCTGGCCATTTGCCTCTTCCCTAACTGAAAAGTCTCCTCTCACCTTTGGCCTTCAGTGCCCCTATTGTTCTCAGAGAAGCCTCAGGCCCCATAGGCGGTTTGGAAAAGGAAGGAGACATACTACCTTTTAAAGGGGTGGTCTGAAGAAGGTCATGTTCAATCCACAGCCCAGCAGGCCCTCTGAAGGGGGCTGAGATAGGCTTAGTACAGAGAGTGAAAGGAAGGGCCCCTTCATTTGGTGTGGCTCTTCCTTCTCAAAGAAGCCAGTATTCCTGCACGGAAGCCTGTGACCCAGAATCTTAGTGACCCTCCAAAGACAGACTTGGGGCTTGATCTAGGAGCCCGTGGGTGGTGCAGATGAACTACTAGATGAAAGATTGGCAGTTTAAACCCACCCCGAGGCACCTTGAATGACAAGCCTGATGATCTACTTGTAGAAGGTCATAGCCTTGAAAGCCCCTGGAGCAGGTCCCCTGTGCACACAGGGGTCTCTGAGAGTGGGAATGACTTGATGGCAGCAGCAGCAGCAGCAGCCTAGTCCTCTTCCCTTTCACCTGAGGCACAGCTTCCTGGTACACAGGACCTCCTCATCCAAGCCTGTCACGTCTGTGCCCTGACTAATCCTCCCATGTTGGAAGAAAGCACTTCACATTTCCCTCCAAACTTATCTTCTGCTGGCTTAGTTCTCTAGTGCTGCTATAGTAGAGATACCACGAATGGGTGGCTTTAACAAACAAATGAATTTTCTCACAGTTTAGGAGGCTAGAAGTCTGAATTCAGGGTGACAGCCCTAGGGGAAGGCTTTCTGTCCCTGCTGGCTCTGGAGGGAGGATCCTGTCTCTCCTGAACTTCTGTTTCTGGCCAGTCTTCATGTGGCTTGGCATCTCTCTTCCCCTACTGCAGTTCCGCTTGCTTGTTTAATATCTTTTATTTCTTAAAAGAGATTAACTCAAGATACACCCTAAACTAATCCTGCCTCAACAACATAACAATGACAACCCATTCCCCACTAGGATTGTAACCACAGGCAAAGCAGTTAGGATTTACAACACATATTTTTGGGAATCACAATTCAATACATAACCCTGGCTAATCCTTATAACCCTCTGACTTTTGTTTGCCCCATAGTAAAGTAAGTTCTGTCATTAAAGGAAGGTGACCTAGGCTTCCAGACTGAAAAGCTGGCTTTTGTTGGTGCTCTTCGAGGCCATGTGTGTGCGCCCCCATTTAGGAGCACGGCCAGAGCTTTTGAGTGTCTCTGAGCATCTCTGCTTGCACACCAGAGAGCTAATCAGTGGGCTCTAAACTACTTCTTTCCCAGCTCCTATCCACCCTCTTCACCAGCACCAGCACCGCACCCTCAGCCATGGTGACTGGTGCTAGGTAACTCCTCTTCCAGGAAGGAATCTGGAAAAGCCAAGCATCTTGTGTTCTGGGACCCACCACCATCAGCCAGGATTGCTGCTGCAATGGGAAATCAAATTGGAAAGATGAGAGGCCACTGCTTCCCTCTGGCAGCTCTGCCAGTAAGAGATGGAAAGGAATAGCTTGCTAACCCATTACAGGGGGAGAAGGAACCAGCCAGAAAGGTTGACAGCCCAGAGAACTTAATAGATGGAAACTTCTCTCTGCAGTCAGTACTCTAACCCATCACTACTTGAGAGTCTCTCCTTCCTATTCCCTTAAGTTCCTAAGCACTCATGGGGTCTTCTGGAATTCTAGGAATACCTTTCCTAGTTCTTTTCCAGCCTGTCCTGGCAAAGGAGGAACTAGGTTCTGGAATAAAAAGAAGGGTGGGTCATTCTGGTTCAGTGTGGGCCTTTTCCTGCTTGACTTCTGAGCTCAGGGCAAATTAAAAGTAGCAAGGCCCCATGGCAGGGAGGACCCCATGGTGAAAACCTGGGCTCTCTTTGTTTCTTGAGCCTCTGTTTCTTAGGACCAAGCACACTCTTTAGGTCAGGTTTCCATGTCACTTGTCTCACCAGTGGGCCTCTCCTCCCTCTTGCTTGCCATCTTAGTTCCTTTTTCTATGTCTAGAGAACACTCAGAAACCACTGCCTACATCTGGTGTTGCTGTTTCTTAACCATGATTTAACCCCACGGAGGAATTGGTTAAGCTTTGTCTGTGGGAAAGAAGAGGCTAAAACCACCACCACCATCAGCACACAGGCCACTGACAATTTGTCAGAGCCACTCCAGCACTGAGCATCCTGATAAAGGAGTCCCAGCCCATGCCCAGGAGAGAGAAAGAATGGGCTGCCAAGCCACAGTCCACCAAGCCCAAAAACTGTAGGGTGTCCTTGTCATTCCCTTTCTCATGCCTTCCACCTTTTCTTCTCGACTCTTCCCAAATGATTTCCAGGGCCTTAAACACTGGGATCGAGTACTACTGGGACCAGCTGAGTGAAACCGTCTTCACTGTCCACTCCAGCAGCCGGAGCAATGAGCGGCCTGGGTAAGTTGGTGAAGTGATGCTCTCAGACTGAGCCAAGGCTCCTGGGGTTGCCCTTCTCAGCCAGAGCAGCTCCTCTCTGACCTGCTGCAGGTATTGAGCTTTCCCCAGCAATTTCATTTGAGAAAAGTGCTCCACAGATAAGACAACAAAGCCAGTGCCCTCAGAATCTTGCATTAGAATAAGCTGAGATGCGCTGTCACCACGTTTTTCTTCTCGTGGCGTTTTCTTTATGAAAAGGAGTTTTCTTTATGAAGAAAAACATGGCATCAGGATTGGAGGAAGAATCATTAACAACCTGAGATACACTGTTGATACAACTTTGCTTGCTGAAAGTGAGGATAACTTGAGGCACTTACTGATGAAGATTGAGGAACGTAGTCTGCAGTATGGATTACATCTCAATATAAAGAAGACAAAAATCCTCACAACTGGACCAATAAGCAGCATCACGATAAATGGAGAAAAGATTGAGGTTGTCAAAGAATTCACGTTGCTTGGTTCTGCGATCGAGGCCAATGGAAGCAGCAGTCAGGACATTAGACGACGTGTAGCACTGGGCAGGAACTCTAGTTATGGTAAGTAACTAGCTGGGCTACGAAGGAACTCTTTCAAGTGCTGAGGAGCAATCCTTGAGGACTAAGGCGTGCCTGACATAGGCCATGATATTTCCAATCACCTCGTATGCATGTGAGAGCTGGACAGTGAATAAGGAAGACAGAAGAAGAGTTGATGCCTTTGAGTTGTGGTGCTGGCGAAGAATGCCGACAGTACCACGGACTGCCAAAAGAACTAACACATCTGTCCTGGAGGAAGTGCAGCCAGAATGCTCCTTGGAAGCAAGAGTGGCCAGACTTCGTCTCACCTACTCTGGTCATGTTGTCAGAAGGGACCATTCCCTGGAAAAGGATGTCATGCTTGGTAAGGTGGAGGGTCGACGAAAGAGGGGAAGGCCTTCTACGAGATGGACTGACACAATGGCTGCGACAATGGGCTTAAGTATAGCAAGGATCATGGAGCTGGCGCAGGATCGGGTGGTGTTTCGTTCTGCTGTGCTTGGGGTCACTATGAGTCGGAAGCAACTCGGCGGCACCTAGTGACAACAACAACCCTGTCCCCATCTCCCATCCTGGCCATAGTATTGGGGCACACTTGGGATGAGGAGAGAAGACAGGGCCTTGAGAAAGATGATGTCCCTTAGAACTTACTCTGTGGTTCAGGGAGAATCTGACGGGATCTCCCAGATGTCCAGGGCCTCAGGGACAAAGGTGCCAGAGCTGCAGGCCAAGGACAAACCCTCCTCAGGAGCACTGATACTGATCCTTTCATCATTTAATTCACTAATGAAGGTGGGAACATTTTAGAAATAAAATGGGGAAATAGATTATAAACGTGAGGCAGTCACCACTTTCTGTAAGAACCGTAACTAGAGGAATAGTCTCTAGAAACAGCTAGAAATATGAGTACTAGGTGACACTCTTGAAGGCCCTGGGTTCCCTCTTCTGCCAGCCCCAGCTATGTCAAGGGTCAGTGTCTGAAAAATGCCTGAGGAAATGGGGATGCTAGCCTTGGGCGTGGGCCTCACTCACAGGGCAACTTATGTGCCCTACCTGCAAGGGTCTTTTTTTTTTTTTTTTTAAATTAGGATTTGGGTGAAGACTTACAGAATAAATTCACTTTTCATACAGCAGTTCACATATACTTTGTCTCATGTCATTGACCAAAATTTACAATGCAGCAGCTCCCCTCCCACTTCCTCCCCATAGTTACCTCCTCCCAGTGTCCATCCCTTCATACTCTTCTGCACCCTGAGCTATCTCCCTGTGCATAAGCAGCCCTTCCTTCTCCCATGATTGTTCTCTCCAAGGCGTGTGTCTACTTGAGGTAAATGTTTAACTCACATGCCTGTACTTTGTTTGGCTGGAAACCACAATTGTGGGTTCAATTCCAGACTGCAAGGGTCTTTTAAGAAGCTCTAAAGGGAGGATCCTGGGGTGGCCCCATAAGATTTCCCTGTGCTTTTCCTCCAATATAGAAATCTCAAGCTACTTAAGTATCCCAAGAATTTCAACTGAATCTTGTCAGAAAGAGTTTAAAGCTACCAAGAAAGAATTTTCCTCCACTGCTCACCCTCTGCCCCATGGATCTCAGCTAGTGGCTTCCTGGATCCAAATGAGAGTCTTTTAAGATCAGCCACCTTCCAAAAAGACCCTTACTATTTAAGGGAGTGGCTGAACCAGCTGGGTTTGCAAAATTGGATGGTTCTGGGGCCTCCTGCATGTCCTAGGGCCTGGGCTGATCTTGGAGGGGAATTGGACACAAACACCATGGCACAGCTCTGTGAGGAGTGCTGCTACAGCAGTGTGTGATCCCAATCTGCCTTTCTCCCTCTAGAACCAGCAGAGCCACGTGGAGGACGGACAGAGACATGGGTCTCATGAATGCAATTGGGCTACAGCCCCGGAACCCCACCACCTCAGTGACATCTCAGGGCACCCAGACCCTGGCCCTTCAGCTGCAGAATGCCGAAACACAGACAGAGAGGGAGGTACCGGAGCCGGGGACAGCAGCCTCAGGACTTGGTGAAGGTAGAAGCCGTGCAGTGCTGAGGGGAATTGGACTGGGGGATAGAGGGGCTAGGGAAAGGCTCCTGGCCCCTTGGTGTGGACAGGTGGTGCAGAGAGATTGAGTCCCCTTCTATATCTAAATAATGCCCACATGGCGACATCAAGAACCTCATCAGGCAGGGGACATCCTTTCCCTGAGCTGGTTCACGGTTCCAGTAAGTAAGCTGCTCTTACAGCTTGGCACAGCCAAACACCCTGACCTCCCTCTCCTCTCCTCAAAGTTGGAGAACCGAGGGTCGAGGGTGTCTTTCCAAAACACACAGAAAGTGGCCGGGATTGAAAGGCCTACCGGAGAGACTTGGCTATAAGTTCTCCTTCCAGAGAAGTGCCTCCCCAGCTTCAGGCTTCCTGGGCCAGACCACAGAGTGGCTTGTCCTCACCTCTTGGCATGGGGTGAGCTGGTGCAGCACATTTGGAACTGCTACAGATGAGGCCTTCTCATGCTTCTGTCACTGCTCCTGACCCATGCCACCTTGGCTGCATCCTGGCACACAGCCCCTTCCTCTCACCTATTTCTCAGGTGTGGCTCAGCCAGCCTAGGCCCTGGCTTTCTGTGCTGGCCTCACACTTCTAAGAACCAATTAGCACTTCCCAGTGGTAGAGCTGAGCAAGCCGTGGAGTCTGTCAGCAGCCGTGCTAAACAGGCTGTTCTCACTCAGTCACTCTCCTTACCCCCTGCCTCCAGCCTCCTTGCTGGTCCCAGTTCCAAACAAGGTGGCCTCCAGACACACACACATTTTCTAGGCCTGCGTTGAGCCAGTTGTTCAAAAGGGACCAATGGGAGGGAAAGCCGTGGTGTTCATCAGGCAAAGAACAACACATTTTCTTGGGTTACCCCCAGGGAATGGCTGTCTACACTGCAGTTGCCCATGGGGCACTAGCCCTCTCATTGGCATGAACTAAAATTCTTAAAAGTTCTCTTTTTGGTCTCTGGCCCCACCCCCACTTCCTCCATCTGAGGCCCGTGGCTCTTTGCTGGGAGGCATCCCCCTGCGTATGGACATAAGTAACTGACATTGCCTGGCTTGAGCAGCCATTTGCAGCCTTGAGCCCCTGTGAGAAAGAGAATTGAAGGCTGCTTCTGCCATCCCCAGTCCTGTTTCTGTATCTTCCTGTGGACTCCAAGCAGCCCTGGAGCCACTAGGCCTATTCGGGGAAGGGTATGAACCAGGCTTACAGAATGTCACCATGGCTCCCCGTGGAGCCAGAGTACCTGACCCTCCCCCTCAGTGGATGGGCCCTGAGAGCCCCCAGTGAACCACCCCCACATAGCATGAGGGATTTGGAGAGGTGGACTTGAGTCTTAGGTAACCCTCCCTGCCTTAATCTGACAGCCATTTACTGGGCATCTACATGGGTCAGCCACTGGACTGCTGAGACAGATAGGTCTTGGTCTGACCTCCACAGAGCTCTCAGTCTAGAGAGAGAGACAGACTCTAAGCAGAAAATTAGCCTGATATGGACACAGTCTGTGGGAGTGGACAGGAAGTGGGGCCACACCTACAGGGCCTCAGGGGAGACTTCTGGAGGAGGTGACCCCTAGCTGAGTCTTAAAGTATGAGTAGGAGTGAAGCGGGGTGGGGAGCTTTCCTGGCAGAGGGGACAGTGCATGCAAGGACACCAAGCTTAAAAGCTCACACTCTGCACAGAGGGCCACTAGCAGGTGTGTGTCTGTGGTGTATTCAGCATGTTGAGAACTGAGGATAGCTGAGCTGGGTGGGCCAGATGGCAGGGACCCAGGTTGGGAAGGAGGCCTGTACCCTGCAGGTGAAGCACAGGAGGAACTTGGGCACCAGGGTCTGACCACTTAAGAAGGGCATCCACGAGTATCTCACCTCACAGAGAATTCTCATCTTTTTCATTGGTCTAGATTTTCCTTTGTTGTTATTGCTGCGAATATACATGGCAAGGCATGTGCTAATTCAGCAGTTCCTCCACGTACAGTCCAGTGACACTGACGATATTCCTTGAGTTGTGCAGCCATTCACACCCTTCTCTTTTTGAGTTGTTACTACTATTTTCTTGATTAGCATCAAGCCCAGTCAGTTGTGTAAATTACGTTCTTGTTTAGTGGTCGAGGGGGGAAAGCTCGCTCTCTCTGCTTCAAGAAGCCGAAGCAGGGCAGGTGGTGGAAAGCAGCGAGCCCTTCAGAGGCCCAGAGGTACTGATCAGCAGAGGAGTCATAGGGCTGGAGTCTTGACAGGGTGGGGTCAGGCAGCTCGCTACATCTGCTTGTGGCCCTGGGAATGTTGCCTCAAGTTCTGATGCCCTCGATTTTCTAAGCATCACAGTCCCTTTCAGAAAGCCCCACTCCTAGAAAGAAGTGTGTGTGTGTGCATATAGGTGTGAGTTGGAGGGGGTGCTGGGAATTGACACTGCCAGCGTTGTTCTGAGGCATTCACCTCACTGACTGCCAACCACCCCTGCTCTGAACTCAAGGCAAGGAGAGAGCAACAGGCCTGCATCTCCTCGAGTCAGACCTCCTCAGGCCCAAGTTCCCTACCCAGCAGGCAGCGCAGCTGCTCCTGCACACCACCAGCTCCACTCCAACTCCTGCCACAGGCTTTTTGCTTGTTTCACTTTAACAAAAGCATTGGACCTTCTCCAGAGCTTGCCTTGGGCCCAGCAGCAAGCTTCCCTCCAGCTGCCGGCCAAGAGGGGAGCTCAGAGAGAACAGGGAGCACTACCTGGACTCCCCTCATTGTTGCCCTCAGCACTCTGTACTGACATCTTGATTCATCTCCCTCAATGGATTGGGAGTCCTTTAATGCAGGGACTGTGTTGTGTTTCCTGTTTGCTCCCAGCACTGGTACAGCACCTGCCGAGCATACAGTAGGCACCCAGGAAATGTGTGGAATGAATGAATTGAACTGAAACAAGGCCCTGATGCAGAGCTTGGCCATGTCACACTATTCAGAAAGCCCATAGCTCGGCCTCTGACCACTGGAGAAAGGGTGTATGAGTCTCCATCTCCTTTGGTGAGGGCAACAGCTAGACCAGCTGCAGAAGCCCAGACTCTGGGCCAGGTGAAAGCTGATGTTAAAAGGCAGGAGCTGGAAGACCAGTATGCAGCCTGAGGTCAGGAAGAGCCACCCCTCCTCTGACTTGCTAAGCCTTGATTCCCTCTTGAAAACCCAGAATTAAATGCGGGCACAGGGTATTGTGGGAAGTTGCTGACCCTACCCTGGCTTGCCAAGGAAAAGATCACATGTCAACACGAAATCAGTGTCCCATTTTTCAAAGACAATTGCTTTTGCTAGCAGGAAGGAGATAGCAAAATTAACCCCTGTGGTCATCACTGCTCCTGGAGCTAGTAGTGTCAGTGTCTGGCCATGGCTGCCAGTTCCCTGTGGCCCCCAATTTTACCTCTTGAAGAAGGGACCAGCTGCCCTCAGTGGCTTAGTCTTAGCTTAGAGCTCCCAGGAGAGAAGCACAGCTGCAGTGCTCTGGGCTGGCACTGTCCACACAGCCCTGGGGAGGCCGTTCGTTCTCCCTTTGTTCTTCTATGATCACTTCCTTTATGTCTAGTACTGTACTAGGCACGTGAAACCAGTGGTGTTGCCGAGGGAGTCAGAATCACAGTGATGCCTTTTCTCAAAGAGCATGTCCAGAAAGGAAGTAGACATGGAAGTGCTTCTGCCCCAGCAGGGGTAGCATATAAGCACAGTTCAGACACCCCCTTAAGCCTGGAGCTTCATCTGACCAGTCTGCACTGAGGCAGAAGCCTGCATTAGGCACTGGACCTAAAGACGAGTAAGACCTAGTCTGAGACTTTCAGGAGCTTACAGCCCAGAAGGGAGCTGCCACAGCTGACCAGAGGAGGAGCAGCTACTTTCAGCTGGGGGCTCATAGAGACTTGGGGAAAGACATGGTATTTTCATTGGCCCTTGAAAATAAGTAGACTCGAGACATGAGGAGGCCAAGCAAAGCATGGCAGACAGCAGTCACGGTGCTACATGTCTACAGTTGTGCGCCAGGGGCAGGCACGGGCCAAGAGCAGTGGGAGGAGGAGCACTCAGTAGGACCTGATTGGAGGCTACAGGGTGTGAACTGGATTCGAGCTCTGCGTTAGTCATGGTAGCAGTGTGGAGGCGAGATGGAAGGAAGAGATTAGAAGCAAGACCAGTCAGGAAACACTGGCACACATGGAGCAGTGGGAGAGGACAGAGGGGTGGAGACTTTGAGTGCTAGCAGAGCCTCTCTGGGGGCTTGGCTATGGCAGCTCCCTTAGGGCCCCAAGGCAGCCTTGTTCTGCCTTCAGAAATCCGTTTGAAAAGAGCTGGTAGCTCCTCAGGCATAGAGCCCAGTGAGCAGGAGGAGATCCCTGCCAGCGGGCCATAGGCCAGCCCACCACATGGCCTAGACTGGGCTGGGTGCTCAGCAGTGCAGAGAGTTCTTGGAAAGCATGGGGGTGGCCGCAGGCACAGTGAAGGCCCCGTGGGGCTGCCCCAGGTCGCCCTGTTGACTCAGAGGGTAGAAGCTGTGCTGGCACCAAGACCCTGGGTTGACCTTTCTGAGGCCCCCAGTGACAGAAGGCCTTTCTGCTGAGAGAAGGCAGGGCTGCAACCCTTCAGGTTTTCTTTCCTTCTTCCCTGAGCTCTGGAACCGAGCTGGCCAAAGGGAAGTGTGTGAGGTCAGCTGACTGGAGGGGCAGCACGGGGACAGTGCCAGAGTCCACCAGGGGCCCAGGCCAAGGCCCCACCAGCTGAGGCTGCTAGGCAGGAGGGGAGATCGAACGGAGGCTCTGGGTGCAGCTGAGCTGTGGAGCCGGCTGGCCTGGAAGTCCGACTCTAAGGAGACGAGCAGAGAAAAAGGACAGGGAGAGAGCAAAGACTACTTGACATCAGTAGTAGCCAAGAAAGAGTAAAACTCCTCATCACCTCATTCCCTAAAACTGTAGAATCCCAGACTGGCCAGCAATAACCAAAGAAACAAACGAGAAGTTCACTAGGCCCAGCTGTGACAGTGTGGGAGCCTTAGTCCTAGTGCCTACAGCCCGGAGCTGGTTATCACCCTGCTGAGCTTGGCAGCTGAGAGGGTTGAGCAGTGTAGCTGCACGCTGTAAGCCCCAAGTTATCTATAGAATGGCCGCCCTGACCAAGGGCCCATTGGTCACCTTACCTCATTTCCTCTGCCCAGCACCGTGCAGAATGGCTGTCTTTACCCTCCCTTACAGCCGGGAAACTGAGGGATATGGATGTTAAGGGACTAGTCTAAGGTCACACAGCTTGTAAGTGGCTGGACTGAGATTTGAGCCAAAGCCTTGTCTGCTCCCACACAAGTGAATGGCCAGCCCTTTGGGGATGCAGCAACCCTTCTCTCCCTCCCTGGCCGTGGGCTCAGGTCTGGGCTGGACAGTTGCCTCTCCAGAGAAAGATGAGGGTGTCGGGAGAACAGTGTGTGGGAATAACTTGTGAGAGCCAGTGGTTAAACGTAGAAGAGGGAGGAGATGGAAGTCCTTACAGGGAACAGAGTTCAAAACCCAGAACACCTCATATGCTTTTAGGAAATAACATAAATAAAATGAGTAACACAAAGGGAAAAGGAGAGTGCAGAGATGTAGTCAACCAGGCAGCATGGCCCAACCTAGGGCTGGATCTACCAGGCTGCTCAAGTCAGGGGAGGGTAGACAAAGCAAGCAGTACCTAAGGGCCACCTCCTTAGCCTTCTTGACAACAAGCCGGCCACTGGTGCCAAAACGGTTCCTGAGAGCTGACCGTGTGCCTTCTGGTCCCAGCTCTGCCTCTTAAGTGGCTGAATAGCCTTGGCCACCTCACATCACCTTAACCTAGTTGCTGCTAAATCAGTCTGGACTCATGGCAACCCGGGGTGGGTCAGAGGAGAACTGTGCTCCTAGGGTTTTCAGTGGCTGTGATTTTCTAGAAGTAGATCACCAGGCCTTTCTTCCAAGGTGCCTCTGGGTAGACTCCTCCCTCCAGCCCCTCGGTTAGTAGCCAGCTGCTTAACCATTTGCACCACCCAGGGACTCCCACACTGAGCTCTCGGCCAAGGCCACTCAGTACAACAGAAGGGTGATAATGGTCATTCGAGAGTCTCATCTAGCCTTCAGGGAGTCTCTGATTGAGAACAGAAGGGCAGTGTATGCACAGGAGACAGCTCGGGGCAGGAGTGCATGGGAGGGAAGGACACAGGGAAGAGGTAACTATGGGGAGAAGTGGGAAGGGAGCTGTTACATTGTGGGAAATTGCAGTCAATGTCATGAGACTGTGTATGTGAGCTGCTGTATGAAAAATGATTTTGTTCTGTAAACTTTCACACAAATCACAATAAAAATTTTTAAAAAGTCTCCAATTGAGTCTCAGAGTGACAGATTCAGGCCCCTTCCTGTTGTGTTTTTGACCGAGAATCCCCTGCCCAGGCCAACAGCTTATACTCTGTCTCTCCTGCTTTGTTTCTTCCAGGGGAGGGCTCAGAGTATGGTGCAGGTGGAGAAGACGCCCTCAGCAGGATCCAGAGGCTGATGGCGGAGGGGGGCATGACAGCTGTGGTGCAGCGGGAGCAGAGCACCACCATGGCCTCCATGGGCGGCTTTGGCAACAACATCATCGTTAGCCACCGTATTCACCGTAGCTCCCAGACGGGTGCCGAGCCCACTGCTGCCCGCACCTCCTCACCCCAGCCCTCCACCTCCCGAGGACTGCTCCCTGAACCTGGGCAACTGGCAGAGCGAGGCCTAAGCCCCCGGACAGCCTCCTGGGACCAGCCTGGTACCCCTGGGCGGGAGCCACCCCCACAAGCCCTGCCCCCTTCCTCCCCTATCCCCGTTCCCCTTCCCAGCCCTGAGGGACCAACCCGGCGCTGTGACCTGACCAATAGCAGCCACCTTCCTGATGGCAGTGGCAGCAGCCGGGGAGAAGCTGCGGGCCCCAGTGGGGAGCCACGGAACAGGTAGAGACACATGTGAGCACTGGCGCCGCCTCTGAACCGCTGAGCAGAGGCGACCTCACAGCTGACTGGGAAGTGTACACGTGGAAGAGCTGCAGGCTGCGTCAGGGAACAGAGGAATAAGGGTGGAGGGCCGAGAGGAGTCAGTCAGTGGGCACGAGGCAGTCAAATGGGCGAGGCCTGCCTCGGGGGGCTAGAACCTTCTAGGATTTGAAGCCCCGGAGGGCCACAGTGCTGGACTCTTGTCAACTGAGGAGCAAGTGGGTGTCTGCCATGAGCCTACCTTTCTCCTAGGTTCATGGGCTCCAGGGACTCAGCCCTAGGCAGAGAGCCCCACAAGGGTGAACCGTCTTCCAGTTCTGGGCCAAGAATCCTGGACAGAGGCCAGTGGGGCAGCTTTGCCCTGTCCACCTGTTGCATGGGCAGAGCCACCAGGAGCCCCGGGACAGGAAGAGGTGGCTGGGCCCCAGGAGCCTCCTCCATCTCTGAGCCTTCCAGAGGTCCAGCCTGTCGTCTTTATCTTTCCCCACAGAGACCACGGTCAGGTTGGGCCAGGCTCCCAGATTCCTGAGGACAGGGACTTCCTGCACTTATACTGGGAGACATCCATGGGGTGAGGGGTCAGCTTGCTTGCCTGATAACAGCCTGGGGTCAAGGGACAGTGGGCAGGCCCTCCCTCAGGAGTCAGTGGTGTAGGCTGGCCCATCCCCAGGCTTGTTCAGCCAGCTCCTCCCTCCCCCCAAGGGCCTCAGAGCAGCACCTCTGGGTGTCAGTATTACCTAAGCCTAGTAGGCCAAAGCCAGCCTGAGGCTGGGGGTGGGGATGAGACTCCAAGTCAGAATGTGAGGTCTTGGTCTGTGACTTAAGGTGTTGCATGTGGAATCTTGAACTGTATGTGTAGTTTCTAGTGGAGAAAATCAAGGCTCTGATTATTTTGTTTTTAGTATGAAAATGTGATTTCCTTTCTGTTTGTAACTCATCATAGAAACATTATGGTGGGAGGAGAGGGGATAGTCTGACTGCTAATGAGGGAAACACCAAAGATCTACATTATTAAAATGATGACATGCCCCTCGCCCGGCTCCTGTCTTTGTTTCCGTGGAGATTGATGGAGAGGGTGGTGATTCGGATGGTGGGGAGGGGAAATTGGATTGAGTCCGGTCCCCCAGTTAGTGTTTCTGGTGCTGTTGTCCTACATAAGGGGCCTTATCTGACCTCTTGCTGGAACCAGTCAGATAAGGCCACCACCTCTGCATCATACTGCATCTCAGGCTGAGCATCTGGGCAGCCTTCCAGTGGCAGGTGGGTAGGGGATGGGGATGTTGGAAAGTCACTCATCCTAATGGCTTCCTACCCAGGACGGCAAGCCTGGAGTGAAGAGAGAACTCTGGACAGAAAGCTGGAACTGCCCACGACCGGTCTGTCTGGGCTGGCCAGATAGGGAACTGGGCCTGTCTGCAGGCATCTCCCAAACCACACCATTACTAGCTGCTCAGGTCTCCCTTTACTTTGTATCCTCCATTGGGTGGTGGATCCACTTTAAGTTTTAAGCTGTAAGGATGTGGGAGAAGGGTACTGACCAACTCATTGAGGTATAAAGAACATCAGAATGGCCCCAGGGCTTTTGGCCTGCAACAAGTACTTAAAGATCTTGTGTGTGCCCAACTCTGTACCATATGCTGTGGGCATGCAGAATTACAGGTTCTGCCTCAACAGACAGAACCAAAAAATGAAATAGGCAAGGAAGTAATATAAAACAGAAGAGTTACATAGTTAGCAATACTAGAATTTTCTAGGGAAATTATGTAACTGAACTCAACTAGAGTGTAAACCGTGTGCCAAAGACTCCATGTATATTATCTCTTAATGCTCATCACAGAGCCCCTCTGATGTAGATACTGTTAATTACCTCCAGCTCGCACTGCTAGGGGGTGGAGGCAAGGTTTGAACCCAGGTAGTATGATTCCAGAGCATTCACCATAGCCACTATATGGGTTCTTAGAGGAGAAAGACTAAACATGTAGGAGAATGGATGGAACCCTGGCTTCTCTGTTGTTTTTGGGGAAAAGGCTATGTGGTGGCCTTATGGACTGTTGAAAGGGTCCCTCACCACCCATACACATTTCCACTAGGAGCACCACCCTCTTGTAGGCCCTAGGAGGGATGTGCCAGGTAGGTGGAATGCAGGACTGACATCTGTTTGTCGCATGAACCAACATTAACCTCCCGTTTGAAATGGGGACAGTAATAGCGCTACTTTCTTTTTGGGTTATGAGGATCAAGGGAGACCAGTCATCAATGTAGGGGACATGGCTTCCCAGTCTATCCCAGCCAGCCAACTCCAGTCCCCAAATCCTCAATTCTGAGCAGCCCCAGCCGGTGCCCTAGGAGTACTGGGAGAACAACCTCCGCCTCTGCGTTCAGCCCAGAGACCCCCACACCAAAGGCAGGAGCACCGGGTCCCTGACCTTTAGGGAGGTTGGAGGAGAGGCGGGACTTGAGTTGTTTTTCCAAAAGAGGGAACCAGCCTTCTTAAAGTGTTTGCGCTCCGAGTTTGAGGCTGACAGGCCTAGAACCCCGGGCGCAGATGGTGATTCCGGCCGGTGACTGGGGGCGGAGCCGTGCCGGCCTAGCCTAGGCCTAGGCGGAGCTCTCCGAGGTGCTGAAGCAGCCCCGTTCTGGTAAAGCCCCAAGTCCTGAGCCGCCGGTGCGGCTCGCCTTCGGGGTCTAGTCTCAGGCACCGCCCCGGATGACCTTGGGCAGCCAACTTCTCGCAGGTACGATGAGCACACCCACCAGGCGGCGGCTGGCTGGGTGGCACGTCCTATCCTGGTGCTGGGGGAGCGAGTGCGCGCCCCTCCCCTACCCTGGGAGCGGAGGGCGTCTGCGATGGGCGGATCCTCTCTGCTTCTTGGACCCTTGCCTGTCTGCTTCCTCCCGCCCCTTCCCTGGCCGCCAGGGCTCTGACAGAGCCCCTCCCCTCGGGCCAACAGGCAGCCGACACGGAGCCCCTACACTGAAAACTCCCGGGCTTTTGCCCCGACGGAACCGTGGCTGCAGAGTCGACCCCACTCATACTCGTTGGGGTCAAACACTCGCTCCTCCGCGGTCAAACGGCGAAGCGAAGACAAGCAGATGAGGTCGGGACGAGGCGCGCCACACCCTCGGGGTCCTGGGCGCGCGGTCAGCGCCGAGGCCGAGAGCGCCGCCAGTCAGGGCTGCTACCTCCTTCCCCAGCCCGCAAGGGGGCGCCGCGTTCTCATGACAATGCGGATGCCCTCTCCCCTCCCTGGAGGGCAGCTCCCGCAGCAAAGCTGCCCAGGCGGCCGTGGGCGGTGCCCCCACAGTGCCCAGGCTGGGAGCTGCGGGCCGTCTCCCGGGAGGGGCCCGAGCTCTGGGGTCCCCGACGCCCCAGGTGGTGCCCCCAGCGCGTCGCCGCTGGGTGGCCGACCCGGGGCGGGCGTCGCGGCCCCACCACGATTGGCTGCTTCCCCGTGACATCACGCAGCTCGGGGAAAAGTGCGAGCGTGAGCGCGAGTCGGAGCCACAGCGCCGGGAGCTGCGGGCGGAGCAGGGGCCGCCCCTCGGCACCCCGTCCCCGCCCCCGACCGGGCCGCCCGCCCCTCCCGCCGGCCCGCGGGGCCGCCGGTCTGTCCCGCCGTCTGTCCGGTGCAAGGGGAGTGGGGCGGCGGCGGCGGGTAAGTGACTCCGCAGCCACGCGGGGGTGGCGGCTTCGTTGGGGGAGAAGAACGCGGGGTTTTAGGAGTCCCCTAAGGGTCCCCGGAGGGGGGTCCAGGGACAGGGCCCAGGGCCTCGGGTACGAGCGCGGAGCTGGGCGCTGCGGAGGGCCCGGGCTGGGGCGCCGCGGGGAGAAAGGCCCGGGGTCTGTCGGAGGTTTCTCCAGCTGCGCCTTGGAGAAGGGTTGAGCGCCCCAGAGGTCGGCGGGTGCCCGCCCACAGCCTCCAAGGAGCCTGGGGCAGCCGTCGGGGCGGGACCCGCGTTCCACTCTCCCACTGGCAGCTCTGCTGGGCCCCTGACGCTGGAGCCCGAGGAGCCTTTTTCCCGCCTGCCTCCCCGCCCCTCGGCGCTACCAGCCCACTTGGACGCGCGGAGACTCCGTGAGCGACCTTGAACCCCGACGGAAAGCACACTGCTTTCTTCAGGCACCCTTTCCCTTCTCCAGGGTTACTCTCTCTGTTGCCCAGGCGCCGAGCCCAGAGATCCAACGCGAAACCCGGGGCCCGGGGCGGAAATGTCAGGCGCAATGTCGTTGCCAAATTCCCTGCGCCCCCTCTCCCTCCCCTGAACTCCTGAGTCTCCTCGCCCGCCTCCGGGACAAATCCTGGGGCCACAGCCTTCCCGGGGCCCTGGAGTGAATCCCTAAAGAACCAAGAAAGGACCCGTGCCCCAAGCTGCCCCATGGCGTCCGGAGCCTGGCTCCTCTGGCTCCTGTCTAGTCCGGGAGATGGGGCCGCGAGAACCCGGGGGAGCACGTTGCCGTGACCATGGGCCGCAGGAAGTGCGTGCTAGGGGACTCGCTGGGGGGCAGGGCATCGGAGAGACAGGGCCCCACCGACCGTGATAGAGACGTGGAGGGGCCTCCCACTGGGCCCAATACCCCACAACCCCACCCTTCAGGTTCACCCGAGCCCAGGGCTCGAGAAGCCGGCCGCCCACTCAGGCCACTCCGGCCAGAGGGCGCCTCCCCAGCGGGGACGCCGTGAGGAGTGAAGGAGGGACACCCTCCCTGCTCAGGGGGTGCTGCCTGCGCCCTCCCGCCCCAAGCCAGCACGCTCTTTGGCGATAACTTGCCTAGGGCCAGGGCACGCTGCGAAGAGCCGGGTGTCCTCGCACGGCCAGATTGGGCGACTCTCAAGAGAAGCTCTTCGACAGAAGTCAGTCCGAGGCTGGGGCTCCGCGCCGTAGCTTTGGGAACGGGGACACCTCTCGGTCGGTGCCCAGAAAAAAAAAAAAAAATGGTATGCCAAGGTCATGAGGGACCCGTCGCAGCCCGAAGGGTACACTGGCCTCGTCGTCCAGCTCATGACCCGGCCCCACCCACAAGCTGGCTGGACCCCAGAGCCTGGCCTGGTCGACCCTCCGCAGTCAGGCAGTAGGTGCTTTTGGAATGTGGCCGGTCACCTACTGCCCTCCTAACATTTTCTTGTGTACTCAAGTCCACAGGTAGAAAGACACCCGAACCGTGTGCATCCCCCAGGCCACACCACCCCAGGCACGCACGAACATGCACGTGTCCACCTGGCGCGAGCGTGCTCACGCGCACACGAGCGCACTGGTACACCCAGGCGCGGCCGTGCACACATGCACATGCAGGAGCTACTAGTGTCTACTCGCGCTCCCGGGTAGTCACACACTAAACAATCCGCGCTCGCGTACCCGCCCACACATTTCTGCCGGGTGCCCTGTGGAGACCAGACGCCTTTAACTTGTCCACGTGGAGCTCCGAGTGAAGCGGAGGGCAGCTCCGGGGCGGGGGGCGTCTGGGCCTGGCGAGGGCCCCCACATCCCTCACCACGGAGGTTCTGCCTGGAGGTTCCTCTGCGCGGGTTTGTTGGAGGCGGGGACCGTGGCGAGCAGCGGCCGCAGGCTCTAGGTCCAAAGTTGGTACCCGGGGACCGATATTGCCATCTAGTGGTGCGCACTCCCCTTGGCGGCGGCGGCGGCGGCGGCTGGTCTACCCAGATCCGAGGAGGGCCTGGATCCCGGGGAACAAGCCAGCGGGGCCAAACCCAGGTGACTCCGAGGGCTCCAGAAAGACACAGCCTGGGTGGGGTCGAAGTAGGAAGAAACCTCTGAGGACTGGAGGGACCTAGGCACCCCATTGTCTCAATTTAGCAGGGCCTGGAGATTTTTCTTCCGGAAAGTTAAGTGGGGTAGCAGCAGAGAATGGAAGAGGACTCTCCTCAGCCCTCATCTGCGGAGCCCCCACTGGTGTGGTTTTGAGGGGGAGAGCAAAGGTGAGAAATGCGCTAGGAGCAGTGGGACCTGGGTCCTGGGTTCTAATGGTGCCCCCTGGCCTCCTTACAGACTGGATGACTCGGACTAGTTAATTAATAGTATTCTTATCTGTGAAATGTAGCAGGCAGTTCTATTCTGCACACACACAGCCGCTGTGAGTCAGAACTGACTGGACAGCAACTAACCACAACCACAGTAGTCCCTGCCCTTTCAGGCTGCAATCTATGTATAGATCCAGGTGCCCTAGCATGTGTAAGGCACTCTGGCCTTGTGGTGCTTAAGGCATTTGGCTACTAACCAAAAGTTCAGTAGTTAGAACCCTCAAGCCACTCCTCTGAAGAAAGATGAGGTAGTCTGTTTCTGTAAAGATTTACAGCTTTGGAAAGCCAATGGGGGTCACTATGAGTTGGAATTGACTCAATGGCAGTGAGTTTTTTGGTTTATTTATCCAGATAATCTATATAAAAAGCTCAAAGGGATTCCTAACTCACAGCTAATGCTCAATAACCAAGAGCTCTTCTATTTTTGATATTTGGCATCTCCAGCCCAGTTCTTATCCCTGGTTTGCGTACGGGCTCCAGAAAGCTAAGGCCAGGGTTCCTTGGGCTGGCAATTAGGTCACGGGCCTGCTAGTCTGGTGCTCACCTGTGGGTGCCACATGGAGGGCAGGCTGGCCATGCTGGGGCTGTGGCCCTCGCAGCACAGAGGGTGGTCCTGAGACTCCATTTCAGAGGCTCTAGATGCTGAAAGGAGCTGTCAGAGTCCCTAGGAGAGGGTGGTGTCTGGTCTTTGCCCTTGACTCATTGTATGACCTTGGGAGTGGCACCACTCTCTGAGCCTCCTCCTGGTGGAACAGGGAGCTTGAACTACCAGGCCAGGAGGCGGGTCACCCTGGCGCTTGGCTCCAGCCTCCAGAACGTGTGCATGCTGAGATCCAGTTTAAGTGCCTGTCATCCCCTTAGCTGCTTGAGAGGTGGCCCCGGGACAGGAGTGCTCCCTATTTTGCAGATGAGAGCAGAGAGAAGGCTTATCTGCAGTCACCCAGCTAGATGCTCCTGGCGATGGAGCCCTAGCCGCAGGTCGCCTGCTCCTTCCCCCGCGCTGCGCCGTGCTCCCTCTTCCTCTCGCGCACACAGAGACGCACAGACTGAGTACCGACCAGGCGCGGTGGGGATGGCGGGGCTGTGATGGGCCTGTGTGCGTGTGTAATGGTGCGCGTGTTGGCGGGTGTGAAGGAGGCTGGGCCGCGCGCTGCTTTGGCACGGCTCGCTGGGCGTGGGCCTCCTCACGTGTTTGGAAGAGGGAGAGGGAGGGAGCCAAAGAGGAGCCGAGTGGGCTGAAGACAAGCTCAGGGGAGGGACCTGTGCCAGGGGGACCCCAGAGGGGCCCTAGCTGAGGTGCCATGGGTGTGGTGCTGTAAGAGGCTTCCCCAGAAGCAGCCCCTCTCTTCCCCATGAGGCACTCTTTTAACCCTTTGGACTCCTGATCCAGCCACAGATCTGGCCCTGGCCCTTAATAGCTGTGTGTGTCCTTGCACAGCTGATGCATGGACCCCTTAGAGTTCTAATTCCTCAGGGGTCTCAGTTTCTGTAGCCAGAGACCCAGTTCCCTCGACACTGCCCCCCCCCAAGCCCTGGGGTTGGGGGAGAGGCCTCAGGAGCCGGGAACCTGCTGTGGTCTGAATCTCTGTAGGCCTCACCCCTCCTCATCCTTGAAGTTCTCAGCTCTACACTGAGGTACCTGAGGAAGCCTCCTTGTGGTGGCATCTTGGCTCCTCTAGCTCTTTGGTCCTCTCTCCTAGAGTCCTTAGCTGTAGGACTGCTGTCTCCCCTCCCCCAAACTGCCCCTCCAGCTGTAGAACCTTGGGCAGGTTATTTAACAGCTCATTTCCTCATCTGTAAATAGCAAAAAAATAACAGTATTTATTCCATAGGGATGTTGCAAGGATTAAATGAATTAACAGGAATAAAAAGTATAGAAAGTGCCTGGTACTTAAAAAAAAAAAAAGTTTGCCATCATGTCGATTCTAACTCATAGCTACCCTTTAAGACAGAGTAGAGCTGCCCCCATAGGGTTTCCAAGGCTGTAAATCTTTACAGAAGCAGACTGCCACATCTTTCTCTATGCAGAGCAGCTGGTGGGTTGCACCGCTAACTGTACACATAACCAATGAGCCACCAGGGCTCCTGCCTGGCACTTAGTGGAGAGTAAATACAAAATAGCTGTTAATATATATTCTTGAATTATTGGGTTTTTCTCCAGTGTCTCGGGTAGGGATTGGAAAGCGTGGCCCCCTTGGTAACGTTTGGTTAGGAAATGACTGAACAAGCTAAGGAATGAACTCCTCTAACCAGGGACTGCATCTAACCCCTCTGACCTCCTCCTCCTCAACTCCCTGGCTGCCACCCACACTGGCCTGTCCACGCCTCACACCTGCCTTAGGCCTTTGTTCTGGCCATTGCCCTTGGCTGGGCCACTCTCTGCCACTCTTTGTGTGGTTGTCTCCTTGTCATTGTCCAGATCACTTCCTTGGAGAGACCTTCCCTGATCACCCAGTGTCCTCTGATTCACTATTTAGCCTCACCCCGCCTTATTTTCCTATCTAGCACTTTTCACTAGCTGAAATTATTTAGCAGATTTGCTGCTTATGTGTTTGTGTGCCTCACACTTAGACTGTGAGCTTCAGGAGGGTGGGGACCATGTCTGTCTCATTCACTTCTGTAACCCTAGCACCTAGAACAGTGCTTGGAACATAGTAAGTACTCAATAAATGTTGAAGGAATGAACAGATGGAACAGAGATCTCTGAAGTTCTGTGAGGGTGATGTTCCTCTGTCATCTTGACTTCAGTTTACCCTTCCCCCACTACCCCTCTACCCACTTCAGTGGCTTACCTCTTTTCTCTTCCCTTCCTCCTCCAGGCACTGCCCACCCACCCCTGCTAACCAAGATGGCCAACTTCACACCAGTCAATGGTAGCTCAGGCAACCAGTCTGTGCGCCTGGTCACATCAGCCCATAACCGCTATGAGACAGTGGAGATGGTGTTCATTGCCACGGTGACAGGCTCGCTGAGCCTGGTGACTGTTGTTGGGAACATCCTGGTAATGCTGTCCATCAAGGTCAACAGGCAGCTGCAGACGGTCAACAACTACTTCCTGTTCAGCTTGGCATGTGCCGATCTCATCATAGGCGCCTTCTCCATGAACCTCTACACCGTGTACATCATCAAGGGCTACTGGCCACTGGGCGCTGTGGTCTGTGACCTGTGGCTGGCTCTGGACTACGTGGTGAGCAATGCCTCTGTCATGAATCTTCTCATTATCAGCTTTGACCGATACTTCTGCGTCACCAAGCCCCTCACCTACCCAGCCCGACGTACCACCAAGATGGCAGGCCTCATGATTGCTGCTGCCTGGGTCCTGTCTTTTGTGCTCTGGGCGCCTGCCATCTTGTTCTGGCAGTTTGTGGTGGGCAAGAGGACAGTACCTGACAACCAGTGTTTCATTCAGTTCCTGTCCAATCCAGCGGTGACCTTTGGTACAGCCATTGCTGCCTTCTACCTGCCCGTGGTCATCATGACAGTGCTCTACATCCATATCTCACTGGCCAGTCGCAGCCGGGTTCACAAACACCGGCCCGAAGGCCCCAAGGAGAAGAAAGCCAAGACCTTGGCCTTCCTCAAGAGCCCTCTGATGAAGCAGAGTGTCAAGAAACCCCCTGCAGGAGAAGCTGCTAGAGAAGAGCTGCGAAATGGGAAGCTAGAAGAGGCCCCCCCACCGGCTCTGCCACCCCCACCACGTCCAATGGCTGAGAAGGACACTTCGAATGAGTCCAGCTCAGGCAGCGCCACCCAGAACACCAAGGAGCGACCGCCTACTGAGCTGTCCACCACAGAGGCCACCACGCCTGCCACGCCTGCCCTTTCTCGACAGCCGCGTGCCCTCAACCCAGCCTCCAAATGGTCCAAAATCCAGATTGTGACGAAGCAGACGGGCAACGAGTGTGTGACAGCCATTGAGATCGTGCCTGCCACGCCAGCTGGCATGCGTCCAGCGGCCAACGTGGCCCGCAAGTTTGCCAGCATTGCCCGCAACCAGGTGCGCAAGAAGCGGCAGATGGCAGCCCGGGAGCGCAAGGTGACGCGGACCATCTTTGCCATCCTGTTGGCTTTCATCCTCACCTGGACGCCCTACAACGTCATGGTCCTGGTGAATACTTTCTGCCAGAGCTGCATCCCTGACACGGTGTGGTCCATTGGCTACTGGCTCTGCTACGTCAACAGCACCATCAACCCTGCCTGCTACGCCCTCTGCAATGCCACCTTTAAAAAGACATTCAGGCACCTGTTGCTATGCCAGTACCGGAACATCGGCACTGCCAGGTAATCAGGCAGGAGTGCTATAGGAGGTGACGGTAGTCATGCGTGTGTGCTGCTGTGATGGAGAGATTTGGGGGCACCCGTCCATGCTCTGTCGAAGAGAAGAATTGAAGTCCTGAAGACCCCATGAGGTTCAGGAGGTTCTGGCTGGATTCAGAGACTAGGTCTCTGGTTTAGGCCAAGGAGGCCCAGCCCCAGGGAGTGTCTGACCCGGGACTGCCTGGCCCACCTCTGCTGCCCTAAGGGAGCTGGGCACTGGCCTGGGTGGGGACCTGCCCCACTGTGACCATCAGCATGGCTGAAAGAATTGACATCGGAAGGGAGCAGAAGCCCAGGACCTCCCTTGGGAGGAGCAGGAGGGCCAGTCCTTAGGAGAGGTGGCTTAGCACCTAGGGATACATAAAGATGATCTTCCAGTCCCCTCAAAAACAAGAAAAAAAGGAGGCTCAGGAAGGGGGTGGAACGGTGAGGTCCTCCATTCTGCTGTAATTGGTGCTTTCTGCCCCCCCTGTACCCCGCATGTAGGCTCAGCCCCTCCCCCTAGATCCTACTCCAGGGGTAGACATATCCCCTCCTTACAGGTATTCAGCCAGGCTCTGGTTTTGGATGGGTGGGGGGCTCTGAGGCCTGCCCCCCACAGCACTGCTCTCACCACGTGCAGGGTGAGGCAGCTGGGAGGTGAAGGATTCACACTCAGGATCTTGGGGCCCCAGGCTAAGCCACGAGTGAACCACCACGTGACTCTGAAGACTCTCACCTCCCACCCCAGAAGAGGGCTTGTCCCAGGTCCCACCAAGTCAGGGTTGAGCTATGGGGAGCAGGGTTCCCGATGGGGAACCCTCTTCAAATCTCTGGCCTCTGCAGAGTACCAGGGAGGCCAGGGCCCATGAGAAAAAAGTGGGGAGGACTTGTTGATCCACACAGGCCTCTGTGGGTTCCGGTTTGTCTTCCGTCCCCCAGCCCTGGAGTGAACCTGAGAGAGCTGAGGGTGGGCGGAAAGGCTTAGGGGACTGGGGGAAGGGTATTGGTTGGTTCAAAGCTCAGTCAGGGGGTCTGGGAGAAAGTTTCCAGAAACCTGTTGTTCCCATCAGCTCTGGGGAACACACTACTAAGCCCTCAGGCCCTTAAAGCCACTGGTTCCTTCAGGCTAGTCTTTTTCCCCATTTTCCCCACCCACAAAAATTCCACAGCAAACTCCCTCGGAAGGGGCTTTTATATATTAAAAAAGAAAAGCTTTTATTGGGGGGGAAAAAAAGAGATGGTTTATTTTGTTTCTTAGTAATGGCGTCATTATGGGGAAGAACGAAGGCGGAGGGGGAGGACCACCAAGAATCAAGTACCTCTGGGAGGAGGCCCAAGGTTCCCAGAAGCCCCTTTGGGTGCCTGGGAGTAGGGGGGTGAAGGGAGGAGGCAAGGCGTGATTGATAAAGCAAATGAGTAGACAAAAGGCACTGGTGGGTTGTTTCTCGGTCCTGCAGGAGGATAAAACCAGGGGCTCCTTGGCATTCAGGCCTGGTCTCTAGTCCTTTCCCTTCCCTTTCTTGGCTGTAAAACAAGAAAGACCTTGTTAGCACAGTTAGGGTGACCTAGTAGACCTTACTCTGGGACAGATGGACGGACACACACACACACACACCCACACACACACCCGGCAGAGAGAAAAATTCTGCTTCCCAGTGGTTCTGAATGGGCTGACCCTGAAGCTGGTGGAATAGGGCTGCTGTTACGATGCCCAACATTCCAGCCCCTACAACCTAAATCTTTACTTGGGATCAGACGAATTCAAGTCCCCATTCTGGTCACAGCAGCCCTTGAAACAGTCACATTAGAGGTGGCCGACTCACCCCTGCCCCCTTGGCCTCTCTATGGTGTTGTGAGTCAGGAATGAGACAGCGGAGCAGGAAGCATGGTTGCAAGGGCCAATGTGACCAAATGGTCCCTCCAGCTGGAGAGAGGACAAAGCCAAGCCCTTCTAGGGCAATTTCCCTGGATCCTAAGCCAAGTGCTTCAAAAGGAACAGCTTGAGTTTGTCCCCAATAGAGCCAGCAAGGATTTAACATTTCCTTAGCACCTTTAATGTGCCCCCTCTGTAAGACTCCTTTACATATAGGGAAACTGGGTCTAGAGATATCAAGAAGTCACCTGCCAGGATCAGGATACAAAACTTCAGGCTTAACCATTCCCCTCACAGGTGGGTGGCAGGTTTCTGAGCAGACTCCACTCTCTTCCAGACCCCATTCACTTCACTGACCTTTGGCCTTGGCTTTGGTCTTGGGAGTGCAAGCCTTCATCACGAGGATGGTCTCCTGGCACTGGGCATTATAGCGCGCCTTCTTCAAGGTGCCTTGGCGGGCTTTGGTACCTGTGCCACCATCACACGCACCCCAGCTCTCAAACTTGTACTTGCAGTCGGCTGTGGGGAGGGGAGAGTGCCGGACTCAGGAGCAGGGCGGCCTGTGGCCTCCCTCTTCCAGTTTTCGCAGGCTTCAGAGAGCCTGTGCCCCGCTTTCCGCCTGCGCCCCATCTCACCTCCAAACTCCTTTTTCCAGTTGCACGGCACTCTGCACCGGATGCGCTGCGTCTGGGCCCCGCAGGTGCCCTCGCGGAAACCCACGCCGCAGTCCTTGCTGCTGGGGGTGCAGGGCCCCCAGGCCCATTCCGCGCATTCGCTCCCCGAGCTGCCCTTCTTCAGCTTGTCTGCAACGCGCGCGGAAAAGACTTCAGGACCCGGGGCATGGGGGGCTCCCTCGGGGGACTCCCAAGCCGGGGTCCCGAGCTCCGAATTCAGGCAGCCAGCCCCGTGGTCGCTAGGCCTCACCTGCCTTTCCCCAGCCCTCCTCCTACCTCCCATCCCCGCACACACACACCACCTTTCTTTTTGGCCACCGCGGAAGTGAGCGCCAACAGGGTGAGGAGGGCGAGGAGAAGGAAGGCTCGGTGCTGCATCCTGGGGGAAGAGCACGGGGTCAGGGTGCCCGCGCCGTCCCCTTCCCCAATGGAGGCCGCATGCATGGACCTCCCACCCCAACATCTCCCATTCTCCAGGCCTCAAGGCTAGAGCCACTGGAGTGGCGGCCCGGGCGCGACTTGCAGGGGCCCGCATCTCGCCACGAGCCCGGGACGCCCTGGCGCACAGCCGGAGGTTCTCCTTGGGGGATGCCTTAAACCCAGGACGGGGCTCAGACCCTCAACCCGTCCCTGACCCCCAAGTCGGCAGGGGCTCAGACCCTCAACCCGTCCCTGACCCCCAAGTCGGCAGGGTCTAGTGGGCCGAGGCCGTCGCCCGCTCCCCGGTGCCCCGCGGGCTCACTCGCTCGCTGCCGGCGCTGCTTCGCTCCCTCCCGCGCCGGGCTTGTCCCGCTCCGGCCGCCGCGGCCCCTTTTGTCTCCAGAACCGGTCTGAGCCAGTCACATGGGCCTCGCCCCCTCCCGCCTCCCCCACCCGGGAAGGACCTGCCCCGCCCCCTCCTCTCAAACCCGCACCGCCCCCGACCCTGCGTCCCCGCCCCCGCTCCCGCCCCAAGCCCCCTGTGTCTGTCTGGGCTGCGGGGGCTGCCCCGACTTCCTCGCGGCCCCTAGCCGGTGCCCTTCCGACCCCAGTCCTGCCTGCGTCCCGCCCTGGGGGACTCCCTGCCCGCAGCCCCCAGTCTTAGGCTCCCTCCACCCTCGCCCTCTGTCCTTTTCCCGGGCTTCCCGACTGGGGGCTGTCCCCTTTCCCCGCAGGACGCCTGCAGCCGGGTCCGCCTTCAGCGCCAGGCTCCTTTTCCGTCGCGGAGCCTCCAACCGAGACAGGAGGGAGCATCGAGCCCCGGGTGTGTCACTGGCCCAGACGTTCTGCCCGGCTCTACGCTCCGCGAGCCCCCACTGCCCTGTTAACTCTGTGTGGCCCGCACGCGACCTGACCCCTTCGAGGTCCTGCTCCACCTCCCAGGGTCTGCTGGGCCCCTCACTGGTGGGGCAGGAGCGCCAGGCCCCGTCGGATCGTTTCCCTAAGTTTAGAGATTTTCTGCTCAGTGTTGCGGGGTGCCTGAGACAGGGGAACCCGAGAAATCGCCCCGACTGGGGGCGCGGAGGGCGCCAAGCGCTTCTCGTGGAGCGCAGGCTGGGCGGGGGTGGTGGTGGTGGCTTGGGAAGGAGGAGCCCACGGGCCTGGATTTGGTGAAACCTGAAGGTGACAAGCGCAGTCTTGAGAAGTTGCAGACCCAGCCTCGGCAGTGGCTGCAATGTGCACCCCCCCCCCAAGCCCTGAGGCCTCAGGGGTCAGTCACTCGATCCTGAGCTGCGACTGCAGCTGAGGCCTGGGGGAGGGGGCTTGCTCAAGGCCACTGGGTAAAGGGACGGAAGGCCCGGGCGTCCCTGCCCCACCTCTTTCACTTTCATTGTTATCTTCCCAGCGGGAAGCGGGAATCAGGAGGCAGCCGGCCCCTCCCCCGGCCCGCTGGGCCAGGCAGCTGGGCAGAGGTCAGGTCCTGGGTAGGCTCTCGATCCCACCTCCAAACAGAACGAGAGCCCCCAGAAAAAGAGTCTGTGTTGACGGCGCCCGTTCTCCACCCTGAGGATAACCCAGCTGAGCCCCTTGCTCCTGGAAGACCTCCCCACCCCTCAAAAAAGGAAGGCAGAAAGGAAAAAAAAAAACATCCACTTTACTGAGTCACACCCAGCTGTAAACAAGTCACCGTGAGAGCCCCACCCCCACCCCCCAGGCCCCACAGTCCCGGTGAAATGACTGGATACAGGGTGAGGGTCACAGGGGGAGGTGCCAAGCAGGGCAGCGACAGGCAGAAGCAGCAGGCGCTGTGTTTCCAGGGGAGCCCTGGGAAGATGGGGTCAGGGCAGATCTTCAGTGCCTCAGGGCAGGCCCCAAAAGACCAGGTGGCTTAGGAAACCTCTTCCAGTAGCCTCCTCTGAGACTGGGCCTCACAGCCCCTCAGCTTTCCCCTTGGTCCTAACCCAGGTCATTGCCTGCTGTGAGGGTGAGGCTGCCCCCAAATGGCCCAGCCCAGTTTCCTGTTCCCCTGTGAGCCTCTGGGGCAGGCTGAGGACTTGAGGGGACAGGAAAGACCCTCAGCTTCTCCAGTCCAGCCTTGGGCTGGGAGGCTCCACAGATGCAGCACGGGGCTCCTTCGCTGGGGCCTGAGTCCCCCACGTGGCATCCAAGTGGAATGTGGCAGTGAGGTGGGCAGGGAGGGCGCTCATCCTCCAGCGGGCACTGTCCCTCGCGTGCCCGGCGTGGGCCTCACAGCTACACGGCGGTCTCCTGGTCCTCTCGCTGGATCATCTGGTAGTGCTGCCGGTTCTCCAGGTAGGCAGCCAGCTCCGTGTCCTGAGCCTTCTCCGCCCGCTGACGGGGAGTGTCACCCTGCAAGTGGGAGGGCTGCCATCAGCCAGGCACGGGACACACACACACACATACACACACAACCACACCCACCCCTAGGCTGCCTGGGGGAGGGGACATGCCTCTGCTGCTGGCTCCAGTTTCACAGGGTTTGCTCTGTGTTGACTGAAGGGCAGTTTCGAATTCCCACAGGTCACCCATCTCCCACGGACCCAGGTTTGGGGAAGGTGGGGTTTGCCTGTGCGCCCACCCCAGGCCCTGGTGGCTGGCTCACCTGCTGGTCCGTCTTCATGAGCGAGGCCCCTGCCTCCACGATGTAGTGGCAGATGGTGCGCTGGCCCAGGGCCGCGGCCTGGTGTAGACAGGTCTCCCCGCTGGGGGAGCATGGGTGGGCTGTGGACTCCAGCCAGTCTCTGGGCCCTCCCAGCTGGTTCCCGAGGGCCATCAGAAAGGGCAGGAAGCTCGGGGTGCGGGGGTAAGGGGAGGAGCCGCCCACAGGATGGCAGATATGGCCAGGAAGGGGCTCTGACCAAGCGGCCCAAATCAGGGGTGGGGTGGGGGTGGGTGGGTGCTAAAGACAAGTGGTTTCCAGGGTAATCCAAGGCCCTCCACTGCCCAGATACTCACTTTTCCTCCACAGCATCTAGGATCTCTGTGGGGGCTGCAGAAGAGGGGAGGGGGGGTCAAAGCAGCCTGGCTGCCTCCTCCCCTCCCACCTGGCCGGCCCTGGCCCTGGGCCTCAGCTCACCATGATCCAGCAGGTAGCGGACCACCTCCTTGCTGCCGGTGCTGACGGCATGGTGCAGGAGTGTGCGACTCCGCTCGTCCCGGTGTGTGAGGTCACCTCCGGCTCGGTGCAGCTCCTGGAGCTGCGGGCAGGAGGCAGAGCAGGCTGGGGTGCCCTCCTTCCATCCACGGGCATTCTGACACACGAATCCAGCCACATCCATCTGCACAGGGCCTGTTGCTAGCGCACTCACACATATCACTCCCTAGGGACCTCAGGGGGCCTTTCTGGAATGTCAGGGAAGAGGCCAGGGGCTTCCTTCACCGTGGGCCTGGTGGGCTCCGCAGGAGCACTGATGGCCCAGTCCTGGAGGCTACCACTCCTCTGTAAGCAAGCCAAGTACAAGCCCCTCCTTAGAGCTGGCCTGAGACTAGCTGCGAGTTACCTACTGTGGCCTGGACAGGGCATGTGCAGGGGGGAATGGGACAGTCACCAAAGAGACTCCAGAGGGCCAATGACCCAACTGGAAGCCCTCTTCTCCAGCCTCTGGGGAGCTCTGGGGCTGTACCTTACAGAAGTCGTTCCTCCTGGCAGCCTCGATCAGCTCTTCACCTGCACAGAACACCTGCCCATTACGCTCTGGGGGTGACCACACGTGTGCCTGAGCACACGGAAGCCACACTGTGTACAGGGAGGGGGACCTACGGGGGCACGTGCACACAGGCTCTAGTGGGAACGTGTGCTCATGTGTGTAAGGCTAAGGCAGTGTCTGGGCCCGCCCCAGCTCTCCCCCCAGCCAACCTCACTCCTGTGACAGGAAGAGAGGAGAGGGCACTGGAGGGGCAGGCCTCACCTTTAGGGGGTGCAGCATCCCCTTGCATTGACCTATGGACAGAGCAGGATGAGATGGGTGGGGTGCTACCAGCATGGCTGGTAGCCCCCCACCCAGCCCCAGCCTGGGGCATCCTTCACTATTTCAACAGTTTATTGAGGGCCTGTTACATATCAAGCCCTGGTCTAGGCCCCAGGGATGTAACAGTGAGCAAGACAGGAGGAGCTCACATTCTGGCGCAGGAAACACTCCAACGAATACTTTGAGAAGCGTAAGTGGTCTAAGAACACAAAACAGGGTAGCGTAACTGAACGACTGGAAGATGGTGGCAGCTTCACATGGGGTCCCAAGAAAGACCTCTCTGAGGAGGACAGTTCGTGCTGAGATATGAATAGCGGGGCAGCTCTGTGGAGGGTGGGGGGTGTGTTTTAGGGAAAGAGGACAGTGGGGTCTGGAGGTGGGCCAATTTAAGGTCTCTGGGAACATAAGGCATTTAACTGCTAACCAGAAGGCTGGCGGTTCAAACCTACCAGCCACTCCTTGGAAGGAAGGTTGGGCAATCTACTTCCGTAGTGATCCGCCTCGGAAACACCAAGGAGGGGACACTATGAGTCGGATCCGCCTCGGAAACCCAAGGAGGGGTCACTATGAGTCGGATCCAACTTGACAGCAATGGTTGTTTTTTTTTAGAACAGAGAGGTAAGTGGGGCTGGCCTGTGGTGGTGAGGGGTTCAGGCTCTGAAGAGGTCAGAGGCAGCCAGGCCCAGGCTAAGCACAACCCACCTGCGGGCTGCTGAGAGGGAAGGTTCTAGGCTGGGGCTCAGCTTGATCCGTCTGCAAGTTTGCAGGCCACTCAGGTGGCTGAGTGAAGAATGGGCCACAGGGGGCAGAAGTGGACATGGGTGGTAAGGCAGCGGACGTGAGGGTATGGTGGTCTGGTGGGGGGCAGTATTTGGATGGTGAGGGAGCTGACAGGACTTGCTGAAGGATTAGATGTAGGGCCTGGAGAGGAGACACCAGGGATGGAGCCCAGGTCTGGAAGGTGGAGGCCTGCCTGCGGGTAGGTTCATTGTGTACCAGTTCGTGAGCCAACGGGCAGCTGGCTGGAGGGGTGTGCCTGGGCATCAGGGAAGGGGCCAGGCTGCAGGCAGGACATCAGGAGTGGCCTGGGGGCGTGGAAGAGCCAGGGCCTGCAGACTCACCGGGGCGTAGGGGAGCAGGGAGAGGTGGGGAGAGGAGAGGTGGGAGTGGGAAGGTCAGGCCGAGCCGATGCCCCCAGCAGCTCAGGGTCCAGGATATACAGCTCCTCCTGTGCAATTTCAGTCACGTAGTTGAGATGCTCCTGTCGGGGGGAGGGTCAGGTCAGGGCCAAGGCTCGGGGCCTCCCAGAGCACCGGGGGGAAGGCCAGCAGACCTGGAGAAGCCTCTGCTACAGAGCGTGAAAACCAAAAGGAGGCGCCAGGCCAGGCCAGGTGGCCCTGCTAGACTCTGCTCCCCTTCAGCTCCTCACGCTCCCCCTCTCCACTGTCACCACCTGAGGCCTGCCCCTGACCTTGCATACTGGGCCTACTACCTCTAAGGCCCTACCCAGGCAACCTGGCCCCTGCCGAGAAGCGCCTTATCTCCTGTCTCCTGGATCACACCTGAGCTTCCAGGCCCTCCCAGCCCCCCAAGGCAGCTTGGGTGCACCGGCCCCTTTTCCTGCTCATACCATCCCTGCGTACTCCAGCTTGGAGGCAGGGCCACACCCTCTCTAGGGCCACAGATCAGAGTGAGTGCATGGTGGGGTATGAGGGAGGCCGGGAGCAGCCTGGCTGTGGACAGATGGAGCACTCCAGGAGAGGTGCCGCCAGGTCCCCGGATGCAGCACTGGCTCACCTGGGCCCTGTCGATCCTGTAGAAACGGCTGGCAGTGGTTGCTGTGGAGATAGGGACAGTGAGTTAGTTGGCTGAGGATCAAGGAGGCCCTTCCCCAGGCCTAGGGCCTCTGCTTCCTGGGCCCAGACTCTCCCAGGGGGTGCTGGGGGAGGGGGGCTGAGATTGCCAGGAGCTGACCCTTCAGGGTAGGGCTCACCATCCAGGAAACACCACTTGGGGGACAGTTTCTGGCACGTTGGGGACTTGGCTCCAGCACCATCGGGCTCCTGTTGTAAGGGGGGCAAAGGCTGAGGCTGAGGGAGAGCTGGGGCCAGGGAGAGAAGGACTTGGAGCAGGGAGGTACAGGCAGAGACTCGCATGGGGAAGGGAAGGACTTGGAGCAGGGAGGTACAGGCAGAGACTCGCATGGGGAAG